CTAAAGTTGTGCTTGCTTGTTTTTCACTACTTAGGGTTTTTTTCTTGTTCTCTTCCTCTTTTGTGTCTCCTCTGTATGTCCCCTGAATTCCCTCCCTTTTTTTCTTCTCTATTTCATCCATGCTCAAGCAATCTCTTCAGTGTGAATGTCTCCTTCGACAATGTCAATTCCATAATTTTGATTAAATTAAACTGAAAAGTTTTTGCACAAACAAAGCCAACGCAATCAAATTAGGAGGGAAGCAGAAAACTAGGAACGAATTTTTAAAACCAGTTTATATATGGAGAACTGAGTCAAATTTATAAGAGTACAATTCATTCCCCAACTGATAAATGGTCAGAGGATATGAACAGGTAGTTTTCAGATGAAGAATTTAAAGCTATCATAAAGTCATATGAAAAAAATGCTCTAAATCACTACTGATTAGAGAAATGAAAATCAAAACAATTCTGAGTTACCATATCACACCTATCAGATTGGCTAACATGACAAAACAGGAAAATGACAAATGCTGAAGAAGATGTGGGAAAACTGGAACATTAATGCATTGTTGGTGGAGTTGTGAACTGATCCTGGATCAGTTCTGGAGAACAATTTGGAACTATGCCCAAAGGGCTATAAAAACCCTTTGACCCAGCTATTGCTGGGTCACTTCTAGGTCTGTATTTCAAAGAGAAAATACAAATGGGAAAAGGACCCATATGTACAAAAATATTTGTAGCAGTTCTTTTTGTGGTGGCCAAGAATTGGAAATTGAAGGGATGCCCATTAACTGGGGAATGGCTGAACAAGTTGTAGTATATGAATGTCATGGAATACTATTGTGCTACAAGGAATGATGAGCAGGCTGACTTCAGAAAAACCTAGAAAGACTTGAATGAACTGATGCTGAGTGAAGTGAGCTGAATCAGGAAACACTGTACACAGTAACAGCCATGTTGTGTGATGATTAACCTTGATAGACTCATCTCTTCTTAAGCAATGCAAGGATCCAAGACAACTCCACAGGACTCATGTTGGAAAATGCTGTCCACATCCAGAAAAAGGACTCTGCAGTCTGAATATAGATTGAAGCACATTATTTGCTCTCTCTCTCTCTTTTTTCTTTTGTTTCTTGTTTCTTGTGGTTCCTCCCATTGGTTCTAATTCTTCTTTACAACATGACTAATGTGAAAATAGGTTCAATATGAATGCATATGTCATCAATTGCACACTGTCTTGGGGTGGAGGGAGGGGAGAGACGGAGAGAAAATCTGGAACTCAAAATTTTATGGAAGTGAATGTTGAAAACTAAAAAAAATAAACAAACAATGGTGATCCCAGCCTATACAGTTCATCCATCTATATATGTCAAGCACTGTCAAATATAGTTCTTGGGTTGGTTTTGTTTAAATATTTTTCATTGTTACAAAGGAGAATTTGGGGTGATAGTGGCTAAAGGGAAATGGCATAAAAACAAAAAGAAACAAAACAACCTAAAAAAGCAGGAGACTGGTAGGTCAAAAGAAATAAAGGTGAGGCCTACAAGAAATCAGGCTGAAGACAACAAGAAATGTAAAGAAAATACATTATTATCTCATGCCACTGATCTCCTTGGCATTACAGAGTCACAAAATCTCAGAACTAGGAAGAACTTAACAGGCTGTCTAATTTACTCTGTACCTGACAAGGAATCCTCACTATACTATCCCCAAAGAAGGGTCATTCAATCTCCACTTAGAGAACTCAAATGAGGCTAAATCTGCCAATTCCCATGCAGCTCATTCACACATCCCAGAAGTGGCGATTCAGCCTGTTCTCAGGACCTACAAGTAGCGGAGATCCCTCCACCTCTTGAGGCAGCACATTACACTTTGGGGACAGCTCTCAAGGCTGGGAAATTTTTCCTTAATTTTATATCAAGCCTAACTTGTCCTCTTAGCAGCCTCCACCCTGGCTCTGCCTCCTGGGGCCAAAGAGAACAAGTCTAACATATTCTCCAGTGACAATCCTTCAGGTCCTCCTTGATGCTATACACGCTTAGTTCCTTCAACTTATCATCTGATGACACAGACTCAAGACCCTCTTGCTTGGCCTTTCATAGTCACTCTCCAGCTTATCAATGTTTTATTTAAGCCACGATGCCCAGAACCAAATATGTCACGCTCTTGGATAGCTCTAATTGCTAGGAGTTTTTCGTTTAAACAAACCTAAATCTGCCTCTCTGTAACTTTCAAACATGGCTCCTAAATCTGCCCTTTGGGGTCCCAATCCATCCCCTTAAAGGGCTTATGTTCTGCTTTCTGCTGTTCTTCTTCAGTCATGTCCTACAAAATATGCCCAATCCCTTTTCCATACAATATTCCTTCACATCCTTGAAGGTAGTTATCAAGACCCGGCTAAGTCTTTTTTTTCTCCAGGTAAACATCTCCAGTTCCTTCAACTAATCCTGAGTTAGTATGTATGGAGCAACTTGCCCATCCTGGCTACCTTCAACAAAGTTATTCAGTCATTACAACACATAGTTCTTGACTAGCTATTACATTACAATAGTAATTACAAAAGTAATAGCTTAACTAGCTATTACTAGCTATTAATAATAATAATTATTATTACTGTACTATTCACTGTAAGTACTGCAAAGAAGAATGAGATTCAGTATCACTCCACTACATTGTCCACAGGTAGACAAGGCATTTGTGTCCCCTTTGCAAGGGTTGGAAAGTGAGTTGTTTTCACATTGCTATACTCTGACTTCGAGGATTCATTTTAACGTGTGACATGACTTGTCACAGCAGCTAGGAGGCTCAGCAGATAGAGCACTGGGCCTCAGGAAAACCTGAGTTCAAAACCAGCCTCAGACACTCACTAGCTGTGTGACCCTGGGCAAGTCACTTCACCTCTGTTTGCCTTACTCTACTGGAGAAGGAAATGGCCAACCACTCCAGTATTTTTGCCAAGAAAATCTCATGACCAATATGATCTATAGGGTCACGAAGAGTCAGACAGGACTGAACAACAACTAGAACAACATGACTTGTCACAAAATAAATATTGACATGCTCCAGATTTGCCACACCTGGAATGTTCTCCTTCTCCTACTACTTGGAATCCCAAGTGCCATCTCTTACATAAGTTCGCTCCTGATCCCTCCAGTTGTTGACCCCCTTCCCTAATACTCTACATTTATCTTCTATATATTTAGCTTTTCCTAGCTGTGTAAGTAGACTATCTGGCAGCTAGGTGGCACAGTGGATAGAGTGCAGGGCCTGCAGTCAGGAAGATTCATCTCCATGAGTTCGAATCGGGTCTCAGACACTTACTAGCTCTGGACCCTGCGTAAGTCACTTCACCCTGTTGGCCTCAGTTTGCTCATCTGTAAAATGAACTGGAGAAGGGAATGGCAAATCACTCGAGAATCTTTGCCAAGAAAACTCCAAATGGGATCAGGAAGATCAGATACAACTGAAATAACTGAACAACAACAAAACGCAGAATATGAGCTCTTTGAGGGGATAAATTGTTTTTATTCTCACCTTTGCATTCCCAGTACAATATAAGCAGCGAGCAAATGCTAAATAAACACTCGTTGTATTGTGTTGCACTAAACAGAGGGAATTCTTTGGCATTAAAGTGAGAGGCAGTTTCATGTAGCGCCAAGAGGCACTGGCTTTGGAGTCAGCGAGATCTGGGCTCAAGCCCCAGAGCTGTCTATACTACTTGTGCGATCCTGAGCAAATCAATTCCCTTCTCTAGATGCTAAAGCTGCCACTAGGTGGCAAGGTGGAGAGTCTGGCTTCAGACACTGACTAGTCTACTTCAGTGCCCTCCATCTGTAAAATGGGTATAATAATATCTACTGCCCAACGTTTTTGTAAAGATCAAAGGAAATAATAATTGTAATGTACATAGTAAGTGCTATGTAAATGTTGGCTATTATTATAAATTGCAGGGAAAGTGATGATCTGCACCGGTAGATGGAGTTTCCTCATCTAGGGGCTCCCTTTATCAATGAAGTCAGAGGTCTATCCCTTATCCTATTATTATTATTATTATTACTACTACTACTACTACTACTACTACTGTTATAACTATTATTTATATTAACATATAATAGCAATTCATAATATTTATATTAATATATAATTTCAAATTATTAATATAATTGTTATATTCATCATCATCATCATTATGGTATGGAGATGATCCTTAGCTCTCTGAGGTCCATTTTCTATCCTCTATTTATAAAAAGTAGGCAGCTGCCTAACTTACCAACCACTAGTCTCAACTGTTATAGTGTAGTAGGAAAGATTAGACACGTACTTGCCTAACTATAATAAACAACAGAATGTGAATGTATATGTATTTTTTCTGAGACCATCAGACTGTAAGCTCCATGAGAGTAATTAGATTGTCTAAATTGGCTTTCACTTCCACTGTCTGCCTATAACAGATGCTTAAAAATACACTTGACGAATCAATGAATGGATAAAGTTAGTTCAGAAAAGAAAGAGATTTATTCCAGCTAGGGACATCAAGAGAGACTTATTGAATTGAAAGCATTTAAGTCGGGCCTTGAAGGTCATGCTGGATGGATGCAGCTGGGCAAATGGTATTCAGCATGGAGCCTATATGGGACATGATGTATCTGACAAACAGTCCATTTTGGCTGGTGTGTTTCAGTATTATTATTATTATTATTATTATTATTATTATACCATCACAGCACAGGATATACAGTTAGGTATAAGCTTGTTTAATATTAAAAGGAAGGTGAAAAACTGGCACACTTCAGGAGAGACTTTTCAAGTTCAACTGCAAAACTGGCAGAAATAATACTCTAGATGACTAACACTATAGATGAAAGATATGGCTGGTGAGGCTTCCACCTAAAGGAACAAGCATCAGTAATAAACTAGGGCTTCTTAGAAGTTAAGAAAACCAAATTAATGCCAACAGATGGGTCTGATAAACAGCTAAGGACAAAATCATTAAGGATGGGAGGAACATATGATACTTACTCCGAGGGCAGCTTGGAAGGGAACATCTGATGGAAAGGTGAATGAAGGTCCGGTTGTGACTGGGCTGCTCGGAGGTGGGGTCACAATTAGCCCAGTGGTACTGATGTGAACCTGTCAAGAAAAATATATATGAAAAGGGTTATTAGAAAACCAACCATGAATTTAATGCATGATGAGCCTGGAAAGAAAAAGTAGCGTAGTCACAGTGGAATGAGCTCTGAATGTGCAGTCAAATCCCAGCTGTGCTATCTACTGACCTGTGGGATCTTGGGTAAGTCATGTTACCTCTTTAGGTCTCAGTTTCTTCATGTGTAAAATGAAAGGGTTAGGCTAGATGGCCTCTGAGTCCCTCCTGGACTGTGAATTTCATGTAACAAACACATTGTCTTGGCATAGCCTCCAGAGAAACAAATCATGCAGTGTTTAATATGCGGCCTCTCTTATTTTAAAAGACAGTATGTATTTTCCTTCTCTTTGTGCTGACCAGTAAAAGGCAGGAGATATGGCTCCTGGTTTGCTGAATACTCTAGGCCCTTGGCTTTCACAGCAACAAGAAGCAATACAAGAACTTTATTCTTTTTGGAAGATGCTCTTCACGGGACCAGCTTCTCAGATTCAATAGCCCAATCATTTGCACACAAGCTCCCTTCAAACCTTGTTGAGGATTCAGCTTCCATAGGCTATCACTAAGTCAAATCTGGGTTTCATTCACAAGGCATTTCACTCTTTGACAATCATTTCCTTCACCCCCACCCCTAACTTCCACCTGTGATTAAGATGCAGTCAGCTCAACATGCCTCCAGAAAGTGATTACTTTTCAAGGCCTTAGGGAGACAACGTCCAGCCAAAGCATCTGTCTTCAAAGGTTCCTTGTCAGCAGCACCAATACAAGCAGAAACGCTCGCACTGGGAAGGACCCATTCACTCCAATGTCCAGTGCCTAGACACTTAATCAGTTCCACTCAAGCTGCAGATCACAACCTGATGCCTTGAAGCTGGGAAAGGTGTCTATTCCATTTCTCTTTAAATGAAAAGGTCCTTCCCTCATAGTTAGGATAAGGGATATAGTTTGCTTCTGTGCATTCAAACAGGTGATTTCCCCCATGTCAGAAATGACCTACCCTCCTAAATTCTGCCTCTCACAGAGGTAAGAAATTTGGATGCCCATTATTACCACTACTGTTAACAAATGAGATAGTGTTTGTAAAGCACTTAGTACACTGCCTGGCACACTGAAGGCACTTAATAAATGTTTGTTCATTCCCTTCCTTACTATTTAATATAACACAAGAAATCCTAGCTATAGACATAAGAAAAGTAAAAGACACTGAGAGAATAAATCAAAGCAAAGAGGAAACAAAACTATCACTTTTTATAGATGATATGATGGTATATATCTTAGGGGTTCTTCATCTAGAGTCCATGAACTTGCTTCAAAAAATATTTTGATATCTACATTGGAATTAATTTGTAATCCTGTGTATTTTATTTTGTGCATTTAAAAACATTATTTTGGGGCAGCTAGGTGGCGCAGTGGATAGAGCATCGGCCCTGAAGTCAGGAGGACCTGAGTTCAAATCTGGCCTCAGACCAAACACTTGACACGTACTGTGTGACCTTGGGCAAGTCACTTAACCCCGATGAAGGAGGAGGAGGAGGAGAAGGAAGAAGAAGAACATTATTTTGAGAAGGGGTCCACAGACTTCACCAGACTGTCAAATGGGGTCCATTTCTGAAAAAATGATCAAGAACCCCGATCTATCTAGAGAATGGAGCCTAATGAATCAAGCATAAAATTAACTAAAATTAACTAAAATTATAGGATGTACAATAAAGCCATATGAACAATAGCATTTCTGTATATTACCAACAATACCTATTAGGAAGAGACAGAGAAATTCCATTCAAGATAACTATAGAACATATAAAATATTTGGGAGTCTTTCTACCAAGATACACATGCAAATTATATGGATGCAACTACAAAATTGTCTTTACATAACTGAAGACAGAACTCTGCTGGTGAGTTCTTCTCTTCCTTCAAGGCTCAGCTCACTTACCACCTCTTCTCAGAAGCCTTCCCAAATCCCTTTTGTTGGCACTTTCTCTTCTCTCAAATGACCTTTTATGTACTAAGGGGAGCTTGTGCTCCCCTTAATAGAATGTAAACTCCAGGAAGGCAGAGGCTATTTCAAAGGATTACAGAGTTGAAGGAACCCCTCCAAGGCCATCCAGTCCAAACTTCTCATTTTCCTCTTGGAGAAACTGAGGCTCAAGGAAATTAGGTAACTTGCCTAAAGACACATAGCTAATAAACATCAGTGCTGAGTTTTAGATCAAAGTCCCCTGACTCTCCATTGTATCCACAACCTAGCATGTTGTCTTATACTCAATAAGCTCTCGATAAATGCCAAATTGAATTTTGAGGAATTTTTCCCCCTAAGGAAACAATGGCAGGCTAAGAAGAATGACAACCGCATACACAAGGAAATTCTAATATAACACATTTTCCATAGGTCAGATAGATAATCTATGTGAGAAAAGAAAAAAGGCTATTGAGTAAAACAGTTAGTTCTATGGCAAAACCCACAGTTATTTCATTTATTTTTCCAATATTCTAGGTACTGCTATGAATTCTGGTATAATAGTAGTAGCAGTAGCAGTAGCAACAGCAGAAGCCCATCAGGAGCAGGTCATATCAATCCAGGGTATCTTAGTGAAATTTTAAGCCATTAAAGCTTAAAACTTCAAAACTTCACTAAGACTTTTGGGACATGTATAGGTTTTAAGGCTGAAAAGTATTAATATACTATCAGTGCAGAAAACCCCATCACTGCAAGTGGATTTAAAAATATTAAAGATACTCTAAATGAACAGCTAAAATTAACTGTCTTCTATTATAGTATTTTCTACTAAAGTACCTCTGAGGGAATGTAAGATTTCCAACTATTCCTATATTTCTTGTGCAAAGACACAGACATAGACATGCACACAGACACACACACAGACACAGACACACACACACACACACCCTGTGTCCAATTAGCTTTTCTTGGAAAGCACATGTTGTGAACTATTTTCCTTTCAAAGACTGAACCCAATGATTTTCCACTTTCTAACTAGAAAAGTTTCTGCTCATTCATTCATTTACTCTTCCTTCCATGCTTCAAATACAGAGTATCCCATTAAAATTGCACTAAGACTTTTGGGACGCCCTGTATTGAGAAATGAAGCCATGTTTACTACAGGGATAAAATGAGAACAGGTGCTGACCAGGAGGGCCAAAAAGCAGTGAGTGCTGTTAATTGCAGGCCTTGGACCGCAGCCCAAACAGCCGTGCATCACTCTGAACCCTAGACTCTCCCCCAGGACCTATTAATAAACAACCAGGAATATCCTGGCATCAGCTTTGTCATTTATTACCTGTGTGACCTTGAGCAAATCACTTAGCCTCTTGAACCTTCAATTATTCATCTGTAAAATGAGAATGTTGGACTAGATCAAGACTTCTCAATCTGGGGTCCATGAAATTTTTTTTCTAATCTTTTGATAACTGTATTTCACTATTACTGGTTTCCCTTTATGATCCTACACATCTTATTTCATGAATTTAAAAGTATTATTCTGCAAAAGCACTATTCTTCAGGCTTCCTTGACTGCCCAAAGGCGATCATGACACCCAAATTAAGAACCTCTGGACTAGATGATCTCTCAGGTCCCTTTCAACTCTTAACAGTCATTATGTCCAAAACCTAATCATTGGAAAAGTGGGAGACTGACAACTGGAAGGAAGAAAACAAGTATTTTATTAGAAGTACCTACTGTATATCAGGCACTGTGCTAAGCACTTTGCAAATATTATCTATTTAATCTTATATAAAGAGAATGCTAGTAAAGAGACAAAGAATGTGGGCTGAAAATAATTAAATTATTTTTAAAATGATTGGTATTTTTAGTTTTATAACATTTTCATTTCCAAATATATACCTAGTTGGAGAGACATCCTTTATTACAAATAAAAAATGGGGGGGTGGCACTAGGAGCTATTCTACAAAACTAACCAGCACATCAATCTAATTAATATTATTATCTTGGGAAGGAAAGTGTTGATCTTCTACTCCGCCCCATTTCTTTTGCCTGATGCAACAAATTAGGGTGATTAGGCTAGGACAACGTGAAAGGGAGGTTGAATGAGGAAGATGGAAGGCTCTCTGCACTCCCTGAGGCTAGTGAAAATACCCTCAGTCCTAATAAGCCTAATATTAATGACTCATCTTTCTAGCTGAGGTCAAGGTCAATCATTGGTGTGTGAGGTTCTTGTACAGAGGAGGTTAGTGAACAGGCAAAAACCACTAATTATGTGTTGCAATGGAAAGATCGTGAGTGCTGGACTTAGTTTCTTTCAAAAACACAGACCTGAGTGTCAGTTCTGCCACTTACTAGCCTTAGATAAATCATGGAACCTCTGCATCTGCATCTATAAACTGGAGGTGATCGTACATCTCTCTCACTGTTATAAGGAAGAGTTCTAAAAAGTATATGTGAGCTCCCATTCTAGGATTTTGACCTAGAAGGGATCTTAGGGGTAAAATAGCACTAGAAGGGTGTGGTAACCTATCAATATTACACATCTAGTAAGGCGCAGACACAAGATTCAGATTCAGGCCTTTGGACTCCAAATCCATTGTACTGTGTTGCTATTTTTATCTATTACCACAGGTTTACCACAGAATCATAAAATTATAGCTCCAGAAGGTGCCTTGGAGATCATCTAATCCAAATCCCTTCTACACAGCTTGTCAGTCACAAACACCTGTGCACACCTGTTCTGTTGACTCACCTGGATGACACATCTTACAAACAAATATCTTTATTTATGTTTGTGAAATTGATCTTTCACTGAACAGCAGCCAAGCACAACAGCCTCCAAATACACATAGAAAAATGAATCATTCATACAAATATTTTAAAATAAACACCAGAAGCAATGAATAAAGACACTAGAACAAAGAAACAGAGAAACATATCTAGGTGAGGCACATAATATGCATTCAATGAGGCCCATTTCAGAAGCATGGCATCATGGATGGAATGCTGGATTTGGGGTCAGGAAGACCTAGGTTCAACATTTACTACATGTGGGGCCAGGACCTTCTTACCAGGCTTCAGTTTCTTCATCTATGAAACAGGGATTTTTAATATGTGCTATACCTTCCTCACAAAGATGCTGTGCGTCTCAGATGAAATCATGTGTATAAAGCAGTTAGCAGATCTTAAAAATGCTACATCAATGTCAGTTATCACTTGTTTAGGAGGCCAACAGAGCAGCTAAATAATGACATCAGTAAGATAAACAGCACATGCATGTGGAGTCTCTAGAGACAACAAGATCATTTCTATTAAATCCAGTGTAATTTCGATCTTGGTTCACAGATGCAGAATTAGAAGGAACCTTAGAGGATCCATCCTCATCTTACAGATGTGGGAGTTTTGTCCCAGAGAGGTGATGTGATTGCATGCCTTCAAGGTCTCAAATAAGACTCCATATGGTTATGAAAGAAAATCTAGAGAGATAAGTGTTACTCAACAACAGCCATCTCAACCCTTATGTGGAAGCAGGAAAGGTGGAAGGGATAGTGATGGCTAATATATCATGTTTTAGTATTTCAAGGATTTGTGATTTTATTGGTACACATACTCTACTCCACTGATCCAAAATGCACCATAGGATACAGTTTACTGTGGCCAAAAAAATCTGTCAGCCTAACTCCAACCTGGTGATAAGCTTTTCTCACATACTCAGGCTAGTCCTTAAATGACCAACCATTGAAGCCTTCTGATCTCAGCAGGGCCTTTCAGAGTGCATTGTCCATGATATAGACCCTGAAAACCCAAAGGTCTCCTTAATACCATGATGAGGCATCAAAGTAGGACCTTAGCAGAAGGTAGAGCAGAAAAACGATAAGTAAATAAAGTACTCTACAATCATGTTTTCCTTCCATATCAAAGGAAAGTTATATGGATCAATATCTAATAATCAGTACTCTCATTTCTCTGCATATTTAACACCATAAGATGAGAAACATATAAGAATAAATATCACTAAGCCATTATTATTTGGGTTTCTGTTCTTTTCAGACCACAGACATCCCTTTGAACAAGCCAGGGTGGGGGAATTTCTCACCCTTGCCTATGTCCAAAGGGGCAAAGGTTGCTGTGATAAATTTCCAAAGTTTTAAGGAAGACAACGTTAGGCCTCCCCAGGGTCAGATGGTGGAAGCAGTCTTTAACATGGTAATGAATTACTTTTGTATTTGAGGTGCCAACCTGGAAGAAGAGGAGGTGATGATTCACGGCGTGTGGGGGAGGGGTAAGAAAGGCTGTTGTTAAGTGCTAAGGGGGACTTTCAAGTGAAAACATCAAGTGATCTGATTGAGAATAGAACGTGAAATGCCTTCCAGGCAAAATTCTGACCTCTACTACCCAGGTGAGTGAGGGCCAGTCACTTCTGGTCCTTAGTTTTTTCATCTGTAAGGCAACAGGGCTGATCTTTAGGGTCCTTTCTAGCTCAAATCCTGGGATTCTACGAACATCTCCATCGAGAGACAGATTTCACCACAGTCATAACCTGGAGGGAGAAAACTTACACACCTGTTCTTAACACTATAAAAATAAGCAGTGGAGTAATAACAGTTAATATTTATACAGAAATAAGATAATAGATATAGAAAATAGATAAAAATAGAAATTAATAATTGTAAAGCACTTAGCACAATGCCTGGCACACAGTAGGCACTTTAAAAATATTGATTATCGGGCATTGTGGTAAGCACTTTAAAATTATTAACTCATTTGATTCTCACAACCACCCTGGGAAGTAGGTGCTATTATTATCCCCATTTTAGGAATGGTGAAAATAAAGCAAATGACTTGCCCCAGGGTCACACAATTACTAAATATCTGGGGCTAGATTTGAACTTAGGTCTTCCTGCCTCCAGCCCTGCCACTCTATCCAATGCACCACCTAGCATTCAAGAAAATCCTCTCAACATAGCATAGCATAGTAAACAGAAGAATGCTGGAGGGATAAACCTCGTGTATCTGATCATACATTATAGATCTCATTAAAAATATCTTTTTTATGGGGATCTCAGACTGACAGAGAACCTCTTCATTTTGTAGAGGAGGAAACAGAGGTTAAGTGGCTCATTCAGGATCACACTGGTAACCTCAGGGGAAGGATTTGAATCTAGGTTTTTCCACTGGGACACACAAGCCTATTTCCTTGTGCAGGGGTAAGAAGGACTTGGGCCGGGGGGCTAACTAGGAGCTAAAGGTTGTTTCTTCTTAGGATAAGGTTACCTTCAAAGGACAGCAGCCTCTGGTGGGGTAGGGGACTTGGTGCTATGGCCCTTTCAGATCCATTTCCTGAAAGAAAAGCCTGTTGGATACAGATCTGCATCTCATCTCAAACCCCAGGATACAAATAGAGCAGCAGATCATGTGTACACAGCCCTGGACAGCTCATGGAGCTTCCCTCACAAACAATGCCATTGAGGCCTGAAGTATGGGCATTAGAAAGAATTATTTTCATTCCCACATTACAGAGGTGAGGAGATTGAGACTCATTTGCCCAAAGTCATGTAACCTAATAAGTGGCAAAGCCTGGATTCAAACTGTGCTGAACAAAGGAATATAAACATGTTTCTTTTTACTACATATTTTATATGTTTTGTCCTGTTCCTATTAAGTTTTCAAGCCCATGTCTTTTTCCTCTACATAAATAAAGTTTTGTTTTGTTTTTTTAAACCTTGTTTGTGTCATGGATCCCTTCAGCAGTCTAGTGAAGCCTATGAACCCCTTTTCAGAATAATGTTTTTAAATGCATAAAAAAATAAGATTACATAGGAAACCAATTATATTAAAGACGTAATTTTTTCTCACCTATGTTCATGGATCCCCCAAAATCTATCCAAGAAGCTCCAAGAGGGGAAGTGGGTGTTTCATAAAACAAAGTGGGCACACTGTACACAGAGTAGGGGCTTTACAAATGTTTGCTCAATGGAATGACTGGCTTAGAAATGCCTTAGCCCTACTAAAAGACCCATCAAGTGGCAGTCATGAACAGAGCTCCAGCCTCAGAGTTAGGAAGACCTGGGTTAAGATGATCTCTCTGACACAAATTAGTTATGTGACCCTGGGCATGAAACTTAACCTCTCAGAGCCTCCCAGGCAATTCTCAGACTCCAAGTTGTAAAAGCAAGTGCTGATCAATTAGTAGAGGGAATTTCCTCACTGGGAGTTCCTGAAATCCATGAGATCACAGATAAGAGACTGTTCAGAAGCTAAATAAGTCTGTGCCACACAACAATGCACAGAGCTGGAAGGGCAAGAAAGCAAATGAAAGTGGTTGTTGGAAAAGGAAGCATTTCAACAGAGATGGAAAATAACACCCAACACTGACATGACTGTATTTTCTCAAACAGCAGGTGCTCATGATCTCGAGGGGTATCATGATTAGTGCACCAGCACACAGGAGAAGGACACTTATAGAATCATCAAGTCTTAGTGAACTGAGAGGTATCTGAGATCTTTTAAGCCTATTTGGGTGTGGGTCCTTTAAAAGAACTCTTTCTTCACCTTATTTTGCCTCTTCTGTAATACTTACTGAAAAGACTAAAAGAGGAAGGTAGGCTTATATAAATACAGGCAATTGAAAGCTTTATAAAAAAGCATTTCAACCACAGCATCCTAAGACTGGATAAAAGCAAAGTTTTACTTGGCAAACTTTTCCAAACCATCCTTATGGGGGAAATTTGGCCCAAATGGCTGGGTTGGCAAGATGTTTCCTCTCCTAAGGACTGCTTGGGTGGTCTTGGGTAAAGACACTCAGGTTAGTTTCCCTCTAACCTCTGCTTTCCCACATGCAAAATGGACCAGGGAGAGACAAGGCAGCATAGTGAATAGAGAGTCAGACTCAGATCCAGGAAGATATGGGTTCAAGCTCCATCTATGGTACTGCCCAATTTGCAATGAAGATGTTTATTTATAACGGTGGGGGTTCCTTATTGCAAGTTTGCTATACCAAGGAAATTTTAGTTCAGATAAAAAATAAATAACGGAGCCATGATCCCATTTTGCCTTAAGAGCACTACTGTACTTCCAAATGACCACCTATTATTAGGAAGAGAACAGGGTTTGTTTTCAGTGCAAGAGTCTCCGTATGTCCCCCTACCCTCCAACCTCAGATGATTCATTTACCTGAGAAGGAGCACTACAGGAAAGTCCTGTCAATTCGCTGATTCGAGCTGCAGCAGTGGGATTGCTGGAACTGATGAGGACAGGAGGACTGATCTCCATGGAATGGCGGTTCTGAGTAGCCTGGGAAGACTTGTTAGCCATGGTGAGGGAGGTGAAGGAGTGCCGCTTCTTGGTGTTCTTCTTGGTGTCGCTGGGCTTTGGGGCCACTGCACTGCTGTGGACTGCTCCTGAGGGGCCTTCTCCAGAGTCAGTACTGGACCTGACAATAAAGCCTTGTCCAGTTCTATCAGTTGCTTCGCTGCTGAGTTAAACTGTAAGACCACCAACAGATGCGAGTTTAGAAAAACCTTACAGGTACGCTGAGATGTATTTATTCATAACAAACTGCCTTGTTGTGCTTTCTTAGACTGTGTAATCTCACAAGAGATTATTGTTATAATTTTTTTTGGTTTAGAGAGCTCCCAGGGAAGGTAACCCTTTTCCAACACCAGCTGTAACTGTTCGGTAACTTACGGTCTTACAGATTGGCCTGGGGGTACTTCAAGGTTAAGGGATTTGCCACAGTCATCCAGATAGTATGTATCAATAACAACAACAAGAAGCATTTATTTAGTGTCTATACAATGTGCCAGACGCTGGGCTAAGTGCTTCACAAATATTACTTCATTCAATTTTCAACAACCTGAGAAGTAGGTGGCATTATTATCCCTATTTTAAAGATGAGGGAACTGAGGCAGAGGTTAAATAACTTGCTCAAGGCCACACACCAATAATTGTCTAATGCTGGATTTGAACTCAGCTCTTCCTGCCCCAGGGCTCTATGCATGGTGCCACTTAGCAGCCTCTATCAGAGGTGAGACTGACCCAGGTCTTCCTGACTCTGAAGCCCTCTATAATCTTGTCATACATTGAGACCTGGAAGATACCTGGGAGGCCATCAGGCCAAACCCTTCATTTTACAAATAAGGAAACTGAGGCTGAATGACTGACTCAGTGACAATAAATGGTGGAGGTGAGATTCAAACCCAAGTCTTCCAACTATAAAGCCAGAATTCTTTCTGCTGTACCATACTGCCTCTACCATGCTGCTTCTCACCTTCATTTAAACTTTAAAGGCCTAGCACAAGGCATTCATATACACATTTGTTATTGTTCAATTATTTCAGATGTGTCTGACTCTTTGTGATTCCATTTGGGGATTTCTTGGCAAAGATAATGGAGTGGTTTGTCATTTCCTTTTCTAGCTCATTTTACTGATGAACAAACTGAGGCAAACAGGGTTAAGTGACTTACCCAGGGTCACACAGGTAATAAGTGTATGAGGCCACATTTGAACTCAGGTTTTCCTGACTCCAGACCCAGTGCTCTACCAAATGGACTACCTAGCTACCTGCTCACATACATACACACACCTACAAATACTTTCCCATTGAAATAATTTTCCATCAAGGCTGAGGTTTCATTGGATATAAACACTGACACTATTTCTGTGGTGCAACATATAACCAGTGGTCCTCTCTTTTAAACTATTTTTTAAACTCTACTTTTCACAGGAGCTATATTTTAGCTTACCACAAAGCCCTAGAAATCAGGCCTCAAAAGCTAAGTTGGTGACTTTTGGAATGGGCAAAAGTGCAGTGATATTCTTAATGAAAAGCATCTTCCTTTTATAGTTAATTACTCTCCATATATTATAGAACAGGAAACCCAGAGATAAAATGGCATGAATAATAATAATAATAATACAGCAGAAGCAATGAACATAGTGAATGAATACAGTGCTTTAAGGTTTAGAAAGCTCTTTACAATTATTATCTCATTTATGCCTCACAATGACCTTATTATTATTACCCCCATTTTATAGATGAGGAAACTGAGATACAGAAGTTAAGTGACTGGCCCAAGTTCACACAGCTATATGTCTGAGGCTTATCCTTTTTTCAGGTTCCTATATCAGTTGTCTTGAGTCACGTTCAATTTTCAAAACAGCACAGGGTCAAACATACATTTCAGGGCTCACTGATGGGGACTTCCTATAGCATTCTTAAGCAAATAACCAGAAGAAAACCAAGATTACAAGGAGCCAAAGGCTGGTGTCTCCTGCCTTACATATACTTTAGGTGTTCGGAATGGAATCATCATAAGCAGAAAAGTAAATAATAAGAGTTTTTTGTTTTAGGCCAGGTGGCAGGAGAAAAATTCCTGAAATCCTCAAACATTACAACAACTTGTAATTCTGTTGAGCAGGTAGATAAAGCAGTAAGGAAAAAATCCAACATATAGCTATTTTAATCTTATAAAAAGGCAAACTTAGAACCATGTGAAATAAAAGATGAAGAATCAAAAAAATTAAAATATTCCCTGACACAACATATTTTAATGTAAGATAAAAGAACCTTTCAAAACCAAAACTGACAAACCCTCATCACAGTATTATGTATACCCCACTTAATAACTGCTTCCAAGGATGATGATGGTGGGGATGATGAAGAATAATCAATGGAGAGCCTTCACCCATCCATGAAAGGAAGGATTAGTCCCAGTCTTCCTAGCGTCTTGATGAAGATGCCTTGTCGAACAGAATCAAAAGGCTGTCAGTAAATAGCATAAGGAAATGAACTTGGTCTGCCACAATTCTCTTTTCACAAAGTTATGCTAATTACTGCTCCGTACCCAGCTCTCTTCTAGGTAATTGCAAATTGATTAATGATTTGTTCTAGAATCTCCCCAGGTATTAAAATTCAGCTGACCCAGCTGGTCTATAATTAGCAGGGTCATTCTTTTTCAAAGATGAACAGTACATTTCCATTTTTTCAGGCCTCAATACTTTCCTGAGCTGTTCCAACAAACTCTCAAAGATAATGAAAAATGGCTAAGCAACAGCATCTGCTAATGCTTTAATTACTTTCATTTGCAGGTCAATGGGACTGATTTGGCTAGGACAGAATTCAATTCAACTCAAAGAGTATTTTGGTTGGTAAGAAGTACAGTGAAATGAAGGAACACTCCTAGATTGTAGGAGTATTGAATGCCATGTGAAGGCATTTGCATTTTATGGCAACAGTGTAAAGGATGGATTAGAGTGAAGAGAGAATGGAAAATTGGTGGTCCAGACAGGCAGCAATGAAGACTTATACAAGGACTGTAGCAGTGGGGATAAAGAAAGGAGAACAGATTGAGAGATGTTGTAAAGAAAAAATTAAGTGGACTTAGGGAGGCAGCATGGACACTGACTCTGAAATGCAAGGACTTGAGTTCAAATGCTACCCCTAATGTTTACAACTTGTGTCATGACCGAAGGCAAATCACTTAAACATCGTGAGCCTCAGTTTCCTTCTCTGTAAAATGAGGGAGTTGAATTAGGTGGCTTCTGTGGTCCCTTCAAGATCTAGAGCTATCATCCTATCACATAGGAGATGTGAAAAGAAGGGGGCAACAAAAGAAAACTCCAAGGTTTCAAGCATGGGAGATAAAGTTGATGGCAACCACTGACAGAACCAATGAAGTTAGGAACAGCAGGTTTAAAGGGAAAACCAATAAGCTCCATATGTGACACACTGAACTTAAAATACACTAGTGTAACACTTAGTTCAAGATGTACTGTGAAAGCTAACAAATATGAGTCCTAGAGTAATCTGCTTGGAAATAACTGTTGAAAGGATAAGAAATGAAATTGGTAAGGGGGAGACTGAAGAGTGAGAAGCGAGGAGAGTCTAAAAAAACCTGAGGGAGTGCTTGTGTCAAAAACCTTAGGGAGTACTCATGTTAAAGTGTCAAGAAGAGTAGACAATGCTGGAAAATCAGAGGGGAGGAGTCATTAGAAAGACAGGAAGAGAACCAAGACAAGGCAAAAAAGGTGAAAGCAGGGATGGTCAGTACTGCCAAATGTTCTGGAGAGGTCAAGGAGGATGAGGATTGAGCAAAGGACCTTTAGATGATGTGATGCCGTCTTTGATAAGAGACCAGATTCATTAACGATGGTACACACAGACTCCAGATTATAAAGAGTGGTTGTCAGAATACAGAGACAGAGAGTATAGACTTTTTTTAGTCTTTGTGGTCAAATGTAAGAGAGAGATGAGATGGTGATGTCTCGATGAGGTGCAAAGGTCATAGGAAGGTATTTTTTAGGCTTAGAGAGAATGTCTATAGGGAGATGGGAAAGTGACAGTATAGTGGAAAAAATCAAGAGGAATGAGTGTGAGGATGATTAATGTAGCAAGGTACTAGAACAGGGGTTCTTAACCTGCGGTTAAGCATGAATTTTTTTTTTAACATTTTGATAATCAAAATTTAATATAATTGGTTTCCTTTGTATTTCTATGTATTTTATTTTGTGCATTTAAAAACATTATTCTGAGGAATCCATAAGGTTTTATTAGATTGCCAAATGGGCAATGATGCAAAAAAAGATTAAGAAATTTGGATTATTGATAATTAAGGACATGGCCAGGGAAATTATCCTCAGCAAGGAATAAAGCCATCTTTGTAGGAAGGAAAGGAGAATAGGTGAAGATAATACAAGTTCTGAGAAATGGAAGAGGTATTTTGACAGAACTTTTGTTGGGCGATCTTGATCTCAATGAAATAGAAGTCTAGGCCATCTGCTGTAAGCCTGGGAGATGAGGTCTAATTGTAGACTAGTGAATAGAGGAAAAAGGTTCCAATGATGGGAAATGTACTACTTTTTGAAACCACTCATTTCACTGTTGGACCCTCCTAATAATGAGAAAGTTACTCTTTGTCAACTATGCCGTTTTCAGTCATGTCCGACTTGTGTCCCATTTGGGGTTTTCTTAGCAAAGATACTGGAGTGATTTGACATTTCCTTCTCCAGCTCATTTTACAGATGAGGAAACTGAGGCCAACAGGGTGAAATGACTTGCCCAGGGTCACACAGCTAGAAAGTGTCTGAGGCTGGATTTGAACTCACAAAGAGGAGTCTTCCAGACTCCAGGCACTGCACACTACCCACTGAACCACCCTGCTGCCCCTTATTCTGAGCCAATAAAATAAATAAATCTGGTTGGGTTTTTTTGTTTGTTTGTTTGTTTTGCTTTTCCTAGTTCTCCCCTTTGGATCAGCACAATAATAATGGAAAACCTTGGTTCAATCCTGGCTCTGCCACAGGTGGTTTGTGTGACTTGTGGACAAGTCAATTTACATTTCTGGGCTCCGTTTCTTCATCCATCTGAGTGGGCTGAAGTAGGTGATCTCTAAAGGTGTCTTCTACATCTAACACCCTGCGATAGTCTTCCTTCTACCTGACAGGCTTTTGGATATTTAAAGACAGCTATCATATTCACTGTAA